GTAATAACAGCTAATTAGTCAGTCGATATATATGACATAATCATTGCGTTTACAAAATTCGTATTTTTGTTTGCTCAAGAGTTAGGTCAGAACATTTTTTTATGGACATGATTGCGATTAAAATGCTTTTTTTATTTACGTATTATGATATAGCCATATAGGCACTCTTTTGTAATTTAAAAAGTTTAAGTATTTGCATTGGAAATTTTTTTTCCTATTACCGGAAATAGAAGGTATACCCATCAGAGTTCCCTGAATGTGCTGACGCAATTTAATTTATTTAATAAGAATAACTCGAAATCCAAACGATAATACCTACCTATATTATTATCAGGTTAAGATGTTCATGTTGATTAATTTAAATCATCATGGCGATCGTGCAGCACATTGTACGCTTAATATTTTTTATAGTAATCCGGATTCGCTAGTCACGACTCACGACTATAGTGTGTGGTGGTACCATTGAGTAAGGGTAATAAAGTACTCTATGGGTGGTACGGTACTGACTACTCAGTGACTAGTGACTACTGATGCAATGAACGATGACCCGATGGCGGATAGCAGAATTGAGAATACCAAGGCCCGAGTTGTGCCGACTGCCGAGCGCCATCGTCAGTCGTCGACCGTCGTCGTGCTGAGTGCCGCAACCACTAAAATGGTTCAAGACGTATTCAACAAGTTCCGTTTCCTTAAATCTGTAGCTAACATCTAACCGTTCGTTATCGATCAGTCGCACAGTGCACACAACATCCGATCGTACAGCGACCGTGATAAGGTTTTTTTCGTACAGTATTATTTATATTTTCATTTGCGCGCCGACTGTGTACTGTATAGTGTGTGTTGTTTGTCAGCGAGACGTCAAACGCGTTCTGATAATATCGTTTTGCATTTGACCGTTCGAGTTAGTGCGTCGAAAGCTCGTAAAATTCGTTGYGAAATTATTATTGACTCGTGTCTGTCATTCGATGGCAAAATTATTAGTTCTCCAAATTCCATAAACGAATTATTCAAGCCGATGACATCTCGTAAG